CGTTATGATATCGAATCGACATAGATATCGTAACGATATCGATTCGATATCGTTACGATATTATTGCGATATCGAATTGATATCGTTAGAATTTTAAGGGTTTCTGTAAAGCTATTAGCTTATTTAGATAACTTTTCTTAAACATATATGGAAAATTTATACTTAATCCAAAAAATTTACACTTTGCCTAAATTTTTTTACACTTAAGCTGAAAATTTTACATTTTACCCAAATTTTTTTACATCTAATCCGAAAAATTTATACTTTGTCCAAATTTTTTATACCTAAAGTTAGACTTAGCAACTCTAGTTTTATGAATATAAATCAGCTTTAGAATAGTTTCCTGTATATTAAGAAATTATTAGTATACTAAAACTTGATTTAAAGCTTTTAGACTTACTTGTACATATATAAAAAATTTACACCTATGTTTCATAATAAGTGTAAATTTTTAGTATTGTTAGCTGATAATAAATCAACTTTAGAATTAATTTTAGGATATCATAAAATATGATATATATTTTAGGTTTGCATATCAGATCTAGCTTAAATTGCATTACTTCGTTTCTTGATTTCAATGGACCTTTAGAAGGTAAGCAAAATAGTATAAAAGTTATTGTTCATATTAGATTTGTAAGATCAAGCCTAGTTCAAATCGTGTTACTTTATTCCTTAATTTTCACTTGGCCTTTTAGAGGTAAATAGAATAGTAAAATTTTTTGATATATTATTTGAAATTAAAATTAGGTTAAAATAAATATATCAAACAGTATAATTCTTAGTATCAGACAGGACAATTTTTAGTCAAGTTTGATACCAACATTTTTAGATAGGAGGATTTAAGCTCAGCTTTTTTTTAAACTTAAATTCACTATTAAATTCTTGATATGCTTACTGATATCATAATGTGGTTAGATGCTTAAAAAAAATTCCATAAAATTTGTATATCAGAAATAGTGTGAAAAAACACTCAAACATTAGTTTGTCCCAGAAGTCCTAAAGTTGCCCTATTTATTATTTTGATCAAATTTAAGTTATATTTCCTTCATTTTTAATTCAAATTCTATCTTTGTTTTCTTTCCTTTCAAATTTCCATTTTTGTTTTTCTACCTCTAATTTATTTATTTCAATAGCATGATTTTTTTATATTTTTTAATTTAATTTTTTATTTCATACTCTCTTTAGTTTTACCTATAGTAAAAATTTACTATAAAAAAAGATAATATATTTTCACAAGTGCTAAACAAATTATCCATTTTTTCATACTATTCCTAATCTTTTCTTTCTATACCAGAACTTTTATTATGTTTTTTAATTTCTATATAAGTTTTAATCATTTTTGTTAACTAACTTTTAATAGTATTAGATCTTTATTTTTTAACATATTTGTAAACAAAACATCTTCATTTTATTTCCTTTTTTATACTCATCAAAATTATCAGTAATATGTTGAATTAAAAGGTCAATTTCATGATCTTTTCAAGTATAATTTGATTGATCTAAAGAATCTAATTTTTGTTTAATACCAACTTTTTTTTTGTTAAAAATCTTTGTAACTTTCTAAATATATTTAAAATTAAATTATTATTAAATAATCTTTGTAATTTAATAAAAAAAAAAAAAACAAAATAAGTATTTTTTTTACTTATTTCTAATTCCTCTTTAGAAATATCAAATTTTTATTTTTCTTAAGTTAAGGCTATGCTTTGTAAATTAGCAGATTCTTTCTCAATGTCAATATAATTGACTGTGGAAGCACTTCTCGAATATTGGTTATAATCTTGATAAGAAAATTGAGGAAAAGCTTCATTTTATTCTTATTCGCTTTGGGTCTTGAAAATCCCATAATGAAAATAAAAGCGCGTTAAATATGTGTTATACTTGTCTCCTCAATTATCGGCTAAAAGATTTAACAATTTGATCAAAAACGCCAATTTTATTGATCAAAAATTTGGTGTAACCCGTTCAATAAAGACGATCGATCAACTTTTATTATTATGCATTCTTAAAGGAACAATCCTTTAATGCATTTACAGAAGGATGTTCCAAATAGCTCACTTAATAATCCAAGTTGAAAATAAAGGAAAAGGAAGGAAAGCAAAAAACTAAAAACGTGGTTTTTAGATTTTACATAATTTTCTTTGAATTGATTGGTCAATTCAAAATTAACCATTAACCCCCACTGTATACGTAATTACTTTTCTTGATTTGTAAAAAAAAAATAATTTCCATAATGTTACAGAACATACGTCGTTCTATAACGAAAGGTTAATCGTGATTTGTAAAAGAAAAAAAAAATTTTTCTCAAGATTTTTCTTTTATAATGTAATGACTTAATTTAGTAAATGAACAAGTTTCCATGCTTCCGGGAACCGAATTCCATGACAGTATGCATGTAAATCATGATTATCTCCGTCAGAAAAAAAAAAAAAAAATCTTATAAATATACTAAACGTTTTAAAAATCTAGGGGAAAAAAAAAAATAAAATAAAAAATGTCACTTTCATTATACATAATAAGACATGGAGAACGTATAGATCATGTAGAGCCAAGTTTTGTTTATACCTCAACAACTCCATATGACCCGCCATTAACCCCAAGAGGAAAACGACAAGCAAAGCAAACCGGAACCTATATATATACACTTCAACAAGAAAACGTTTCAACAAAAAGGAATGTAGAATATAACATTACGATGAGCCCGTTTGCACGTACGACTGAAACAGCTATTGATATTGCAAAAGGAATACTTGCGTCCAAACCAGAATCAAAGATAAAATTTAGAATCGATCCATCATTAGCAGAATGGCATAATTCAGCTTATTATGCTCAAGCTGTACCAAACAATATTATTGATAAAAGATTCGAAGAATTACGTGAAATTATTGAAAAAGAAAAAGATGAATATTCCTTTGAATTTGATGAATCTTATACACCAGTATCTAATCTACTTCCTAAATATCCCGAAGGAATACATGAAATAGTTAAAAGATGTCAAAAAGCTTTAGTAGGAATTTCTTCTCCATATATTGAAAAAATTAAGCAAGAAAGAAGATTAAAATCTTCTGAAGATAATATTGAAAAGTTAAATACCGATGTGGTATTGATTATTGTTACTCATGGGTTTTGTTTTAATATTATTCAAGAAGCTTGTTCGAAAGTTAACAATTGGAAGGATGCTGGTTATTGTGCAATATCCAGAGCTAAGTGGATACCGAAAGAAGATGATGAAGTTCCTGATATACAAATTACCGTTAGTAATACTGAAGATGATGATAAAGAGAAAAGTGAAATTCAAAAGAAAAATGAAGAAGCTATTAATGTTTTAAACACTGCAAATCCTAACGGAAGATGGAATTTAGATGTTATTGTCCATACTGATCACTTGAAAGGAATTTAATTTAAATTAATTTATCTTATATTTATTTTTTATTTTTTTAAAAACAATAAAATCTTATTTTTTTTGCCGTAATTTTTGCGTCGCGTTGTGGCTGATAACAAATATTTACACGACACGTTCTGTGGCTAATGTATTGCCTCATGCGGCTTATGATCTAAGCCCGAACGTCGTTTATAAAACTTCGCCTCGTTCAAAAATAAAAGGATCTCCTCATAATATTAGCAAAGGGTCCGAATCAATCTTCGGTCTGATTTTTTAGCTATAAAGTTTCTTTTTTAAGAAAAAGCATGATAATAGTTACTAAAATAGAACAGAATAAACTTTTAAAAAAAGGACTTTTAAACTTTTAAATATCTCAACAATAATTAACACAGTGCTACAAATATAAAGAAATAATGCCAGAAGAGGTTAACATAGAAACGACAACAATAAAACAAGAAGGAACAACGACGGTTAATAAATGTTTAGAACCAATCGCGGTGCAACCCATTGCGGTACCACTGTCACCGGTCATAGCACAACTTCAACAAACAAACACTTCTCCGCTAAATAATAACAGTCTTGTTTCATATTCAAATACGAGCAATTCAACGTCAACCTCAGTGCAAACTTTTAAAAACAACACCGCTTTAAAGCAAGGTACGACCTTCACCTCTCATACAGATTTTGTAGTAGCAGTTCAAGAGTTTTCCATGAGAAATGGCTTTACTATGCGTCTAAATACTGTAAAGCGTAATAGAGAAGGAATTGTTAGATGGAGAGAAATAGTTTGTTCACGCTCTGGTACTCCAAGCAGTAAAAAATCTGGTATTAAACCGATACGGAATCGTCCTTCACAACGTTGTGATTGTCCTTTTCTAATTCGTGCTTCCGTTAATGCAAACACTGGTTTATGGGAAATCATTTCCACAAATTTATATCATAATCATGAAACAAACAACCGCTTCAACAAATCCGTTATAACCGCGAATCCAATTAACGAAGGAAAAGGTTCTTTTGATGTCAATTCATCATCTATAATGTCGTCATCATCATCATCATTTACTTCTGAACCACCGCCACCACAAATCTGATTATCTTTACCTTGTGTAATCACCAAATGGTAATACGAACATAACGTACATAACGTGATACTTTTTTGGGGGCGTAGTTTTACGAAAATGATTGAAAGATAATTAAAAGACATTTATTAATTGTTTAAAACGAATTATTGGTTTATTAGTTGTAATGACGCGTTAATTTTTACATGTAACTTTAAAAAATTCATATCTTTAATAAGGTTTTAAATATTAGGGAAAAAAAAGAGAATAAACTTAAAAGGAGAAATGTTCATGATTATAAGGTTTTACTTATAGTATCAAGTTTAAATGCTGTAATGATAGATTTCTATTATTACAGGAAGGGGGAAAAGATTACAAATTAATTTTCACGACCTGTGCAGTGAAAAACAAAAATTCTCGAGAGAAAGAACGATACAAACCATACTACGATCCCATCCTAATCGATCCCAGGTTACTTTTGCACTTTTAAGTGTTTTATTCTTTATTTGGTCCAATTGTACATCGTCACCATCTTTAAAACTTTTAGGTAATCTAGCATTTTCTCTGCCATTTTTAAAATAAATTAAAGCAGGCAAATCTAAACTCGTGGGTGATAATGAAATTTCGTATTCTTGAGCCAAATTTGGATAAAAATCCAAATCGATTTTTCCAAAATGAACATCTGTAGTTGTATACCTTTATTATTAAAAAAAAAACAAATTTAATCGATCCTTTAATAAAGATAAATTTATATATATAATAAATTAAACTTACTTTACAGATGTTTTTGCCACAGTTGATTCAAAAGTTCTACAAACCGGACTCCATGTGACATGAAAAAATATTATCCAATGTTGATCGACTTGTTCTTTACCTTTGCCGTTTTCACTTTTTTTAATCTTATCATGTTCTTCATCCGTGATTTCTTTAAATTTATGAAGTTCATATCCACCACGTTTAATCTCATTTAAATCTTGTTCACTTAATTCTATTATTTTTGTGGGTCCTTGATACGAAGGTTGTGGCAAAACTACAAATAAAGCTAAAAAAAAAAATAATTAATTAATTATAAATCAATCGAATGATACGGGTATGTAGATCACGAAAAGGGAAAACCTTTGATTACCACTCCATGATATTGCGTATAAAATCGCCCATAACTTTTTATCAAACAAATATAACATTATTACATTCAATAACTTTAGGTATAAAAAGGATACTGATAACCATTCTTCTGCGCTGGCCGTAGATTTATATTTTAACAAAATAAGAGCTCCAATTACAAAATATACTGTTGTTTCTGGAGGCTAGAAATTTTTTTTATATTTGATCGAATTATAAATTATTATTTGATATTTATTTAAAAAACAAATTAAAGAACTTTGACATATCTTAATACCTCAATAGAGAAATCCAAAATATAATTTATTGTGGGTACATTACGAATAATAAAAAAGGTGGAACAAAATAAAAAATTTATAATATAATAAGGGAGAAATAATCTTTGTTTAAGTTCTGACACTAGCGTCATTCTTGATTAATTTTGAAAATAAAATAAAATAAATAAAAAATGAGAAAAACAAGAGGTGGATAAAAAAAAAAATTTTTTTTTATTGTCGGACGAATTGAAGATTACCAAATTGGTAAATTTGGTGAAATAGTACTCCCAAATTGAAAATTTTTGTAGATTCAGAATCTCGAAAATTTTATTTGTGCGCGCATTTTCGTTTCGGACACTTTAAAATAACAGGTTTTGAGTTTTTGACGCGACTCTTTATAATGTCTGTTCAACCTTTTGATAGTTTACATGACGATTTAATACACGATGTTGCTTACGACTTTTATGGAAAGCGTCTTGTAACCTGTTCTTCCGACCAAAAACTTAAAGTATGGGAAATGAGCCCAGATACAAACAATTGGGAACAAATTGATTCTTGGAAAGTACGTTAAATTTTAATTCTAGTTAAATTTTTTAATTTAATTATAACTTTTTCTTGAATCCTTTAGGCACATGAATGTTCGGTACTAAAAGTCGCCTGGGCTCATCCCGAATTTGGTCAAGTAATTGCTTCGTGTTCTTTCGACCGTTCCATTCGCATTTGGGAAGAACAAGAACATGGTATTTAAATTAATTAACGCGATAATTCATTTTTTGATTACATTAATTAAACTTCAAAGTATATATTGATATTTAGAACCAAAGAATAGCGGTAAACGTTGGTTCGAAAAGGCGCGTTTGGTAGATAGTAGAGGTTCCGTTCAGGATGTCGAATTCGCTCCAAACTTTTGGGGCTTAAGATTGGTAAATTTATTTACTTGTTCAATAGGTTTATTTTAAATTTACAAAATATTAATTATATAAATATATATCTCTATCAGGCTTCAATTGCTGCTGATGGTGTGCTTAGAATATATGAAGCTCTTGAAGTATCCAACTTAGCACATTGGACTTTAATGGACGAAGTGAATGTTCATTTATCAAGGAATTCTAACACAACCACTCTCAAAGAAGCAGAAGGAAGCTATTGTCTATCATGGTGTCCGTCTCGTTATCAATCTCCAATGATCGTTATAGGTTGTGGGAAAGAGAATAACACCAAAGTTAGTATTCAATTAGTAATACTTGTTTTATTTATAATATAGAATTTTTTATTTTTTACTTTATTTCTTTTAAGATATTTCGTTATGACCAACATAATAAATGGCGTCCATATGAAGTATTGGATGGGCATCAAGATTTAATTCACGATGTAGCTTGGGCTCCAAATATGGGAAGGTAAAGAATACAGAAAATAAAAAATATGAACTTATATGACCCCTTTTTAATTAAATTATTTCTATTAGGAGTTATCATCTTATCGCAACTGCTTCAAAAGATCATCGAGTCAGGATTTATAAATTGCTAGACAATAAAGATGGTTTCGCTATAGAATTAATATCAGAACTCAACCACAATACAGAGGTAATATTATGATACCTAATTTACTTTTTCAAATAATTATTTTTATTTCGTGTTTATAAAATGTTTGATTTTCTACAGGTATGGAAAGTCAAATGGAATGTAACAGGCACTATCTTGTCTTCCGCTGGAGATGACGGAAAAGTTCGTTTATGGAAGGGTAGGAAAGGAATTGTTATTAAATTGCGATTATTTATTATTCAATTTGATTAATTAACTTTTTTTTTTCTTCCAAATTGTTACTAATAGCTAGTAATAAAATTGAAAGTGAAGGTTTTAAATGTATGGGCATAGTATGTAATGACCGTCAAAGTAGTGATACAATGGAAATATAAAATAGATAAATTCGAGCGCTTGAATCAATATGTATATGAAAAAAATAATTTTATCTTTACACTCTATTATGTCCAATTAAACACCTGCTTTCATATTTTCTTTATCTACGAGGAATTCCACGGCCACGACCTCTAAGTGCTCGTTGTGCTCCACCTCTTGGCATTGTAGGACCAGATTGAGGTTTCTCTGATGCAGGATTTCTCACAGTTTCATCCACACTTAAAAGTAAACACGCTGCCTCTGCAGCAGCAGCAATTGCATTGGTTTTTACAAGTGCAGGTTCCCAGACAAATGCGTCATAATTATCAGTAATGGATTCATTATTGATATCCACACCATACCAACGAGCTCCTAATATTATTTATTTAGAAACATTAATTAGAAATTTCGAGGATTAAATTTGATAAATTATTATTACCTTGAGCATGTTTCATTCTTAGATTATTCAAAATATCGGTTGCGTCAAAACCTGCATTATCACATAATTGACGAGGAATAACTTCCAATGCACGTGCAAAAGCGCTGATAATCAATTGTTGTTTGCCCTCAATTGTTCGAGAATGTTCTCGGAGGTATTTGGATATTTCCATCTTTCATACATTTCAAAAAAATAATATCCAGTATAAGTAGGTAATGAACGATTAAAGAAAATCATTTGTTTCAATAAAAAAAATTTTTTCGAACCTCCGTTGCACCACCACCAGCAACTATCAAGTTATTCTTGATGCATCTTTTTACTATCATGATTGCATCATGTAAACTTCTTTCTACCTCTGCAATAAATTGTTCCGCACCACCTCTTAGAATAAGTGTGCATGTTTTTGCTGCCGGACAACCTTGAAAGAGATTAAATCTTTCACCACCTATTTGTTTTTCTTCAAAATGATCGCACGTGCCTAAATGTTTTTCTGCGATATCTGAAACAGTGGTTTGCGTTGAACCACCAACTGCATTTACGACACGATTAAGATCTTCAGCAGGTACTCGGCCTGCACAAAAGATATCTCTGTCAGCAAAATATTGAGTTGCCAAATCACCAATTGGTAGTTTTGAAAGTACTACTTTAGCTCCAGTATTTACAATAGCATCGAGTTTGGAAAATATGATGGTCCATTCAGCATCAACAATCGCTTGATATTCCTAAATTATATATATTTTTTTAATAATTCATTATTAAGACGAATTTGATTTAAATAAATTAAAGATTCGACACATACAGCGACATCTTCGACCCTGACTTCAGCATTGTCCTTTTCAGCTTTTAATTCTAATTCAACATTCAGTGACAAAATTTTAGGATTTTTGAAGGATTTTGGCTGTTGTTCAAATCCAGCATATGAAAACGTTTTTTTGAAAGCGACTCCATTAATGAGAAGTGAATCCTACATAAATTCCATAATGAAATAGTTTGAATAAATTGTTATGAAGTGAAAATATATATAAATAAATACATATAATTGTGTTGAACCTACTTCCATGGCACCGCCTGGAACTCTTTTTATACCAATCAATTTTTCATTCAATTCTTGGTCCAGCTTCAATACAGCATCAACGACCATTTTTGTAAAGAAATCTTCATGCGAATGAATGAGTTTTGAAGACATGGCAGTTCTAGCACATTTCGAAAGAAGATCTCGAAATTTCCTAATAAATAATTATAATTATTTTAAAAGGTTGAAGAATTACATTTTTCTTTTTTTAAAAAAAAAGAAGTGTTAACTTACGTTTCATCAGTACGATCAATCGTGACGGCAATTTCTTTAACTTTATTAATCGCCTATGCATAAGAATAAAATAATTAATAATTGTTACATAATTGTTTCTGTAATATAATCACATTTTTAAAAAAATTTATACCAACTGAGCAGCCTTTCTATAACCCTTAATAATAACATGAGGACTGACACCTTCTTCGATATACCCCTTAACTTCCTTCAACAATTCACCTGCGAGCAAGACCACACTTGTGGTTCCGTCACCAACCTAAAATAAAATCGTTAAATCACGTGATAGAAACCAGAAAATGACTTGTCAGTATAAGATCGTACTTCGGCATCTTGTGATCTTGCAATGTCAACGAGGGTTTTTGCGGCAGGGTGAACAATGTCAAGAAGTTTCATAATCGTAGCCCCATCATTTGAAATAGTAACCTCTCCTGTAAAGAATTTTACATTAATGAGGTATTTCATTTTTATAGTCATGAATACCTTAACAATATTTACCCTTATCATCAACAATCAATTTATCCATGCCTCTTGGCCCCAATGTTGTTCGAACAGTGTCTACTACTGCCAAACATGCATTGATATTGGATAAAAGTTGACCGCGTCCCTGAGAAGAATCTGTTCCCTCTTTGAGCAAGATAATTTGGGGTTGCTAATAAAATTTTGACAAAATATTGATTATAATATACAGAAGTTTATTAGTTTTTATTTGTAATACTATTTATGATATTACCGAATAAATAACGCGGTGAAAACCCCGAGCTTATTATATTCACAAATCAAATTTCGCTCGGGAAGTCAGTATTAAGAAGACATACCATCATTGGAAGTCCTCTTCCAGCCATTTTGATCTAAGCAAATAATGTTGGATGTTGTGGAGTTAAAATATTTTTTTTAGATATCTACAAAAATTCATTTGTCGATCACAGTTACACGCACTTCTATTTCTGGAATGATTTTTTAATTAGAGATTTTTTTTTTTAGTAAAATATTTAATATTTAATATACATGTAACTTGAAATATGTTAATATAGTAGTATGGCTTCTAATATTGATAAAATAATTTGTGTTACATGTATAATGATTAATTTGTTTTGACAATTAAAAAAAAAATACTTTATAATTAAATTAAAAAAATATTTTGAATTGAATCTAATAGATTTAATTCATAAATATATTTTAAATTTAATTATGTTTAATTAATAATTAAAATCTATATTTAATTTGATTTAATATATCTAATTATTAAATTTAATTTTTCATAAAATGGTTTCTTAAATAAAATTTAAATAAATATTGAATAGTTAATTAGTAATCTTTTTATAATCTTTTAAATATATATATTAATTTTTAATTAAATTAAATAAATTAATTTATAATTAATTAAATAATTCATATTATAAATTATTTAATTTTATAAGTTAATTTTATTAATATTTTAAAGATTAAAAACTAATTATACTAATTATATAAATTTTTATTTTTCATTAATTAAATTGAAATAAAAATAATACTTATTTGTATAAAGATATTTAATAAGATCAAATACTTAATTAAAATTAATAAGCAATTATAATAATGATTAAAACCATTTCTTTCAACACTGACTTTTCTGTAAACATTTAACCAATTCAGTTATATAATTTAGTAAAAATTTAGCTTGAATTATAAATTTAATAAACATTTGTTATACTGCATATAAATTAGCATTATTTTAGCACTAAGATTAAAATCTTTCAGCTGATTCAGCTTTTAAATTTCTTTATATAAATACAAAAATCTCTTTGCTTATCAGCAAAAAACCCTTCTTTATAAAACTATTAATTGTTGAACCTCTTTCAGTTATTATTGAGTTTCTTATAATTAGGCTTGTAACTTTTCATAATTTCTTTATATTTGTCTTTTTCTATTCTTTACTATCTTTTTCTTCAAGATATTAATGATTTTTTGACTTGAATTCTAAAAATTTTTTTATTTTATGATAATTAAGATTAGCAGAAGAAAATTTTCTTGTTTAATTATTTAAATTTTTATATATTATGAATTTTTCTTTTATTTTTTAAAAAATTTTTTTTATGTTATTTATTTTAGATATAGATATAATGTATTTAAAACTAGCTAGTATTTATAACTTTATATTTAATTTTTATAATAATTTTTAAGACTCTTATAAGTAAATCTTTTTTGATAAAAAGTTAATAATAACTAATTTGTGATAATTTTATTGTAGTAAAAATTTTCAATAGTATTTGATAAAGACTAAAAAGTATATTAGAATATAATGAATAAGTATAATTATTATATTATTAAGATTGTTGAAGAAACTAAAGATTTACTTGCTGAAATACCAAAATGCTGAAACTTTGCCAAACTATATTAAAATTTTATAAAAACTTATGCGAAACTATAATAAAATGGTAAAACACTAAAACTATCATAGTAAATACTAAAGATGGGAACTGTAATTAATATGTTGCAACTTTTAATGTTGCAACTTACGTTGCAATTAGTTTTAACCTATATATGTTGCAACTTATAATGTTGCAACATATGTTGCAACTAATTTTAACTTATGTTGCAACATTTTGTAAATTTGAAATCAATTGCTGTACCATCTTTAGTAAATACTAAAATTAAAGAAATTATAATAAAACTTAATTAAACACTTATTAAAATTTTATCAAACTAGTCGCATGTGACTTCATAATATAATTATATTATGAAGTTACATGCAACTTATATTAGGTTATAAAGGTAACTTCAGTGTCTGCTGGTTACTTCATAATACAATGGTAACTTCATAATCTGCCTGTAACTTCATAATATAATAGTAATTTCATAGTCAAACGGTAACTTCATAATATAATAGAGATATCATAATCTAATTATATGATCTGGTGGTAACTTCATAACCTACTATTCATAATCTAATAATGACTTCATAATCTAATTATGGGTAGCTTCTTTACGTTTATAGCATTATTTTAATCATTTTCCATATATTATAGTGGTGATTTTATAGTCTAATGGTAACTGAGAATGTTTTATTTTAATGGTGATGTCATGATCTAATGGTTACTGCTTTCTTCTTATTTCTAATTCGTTTACATAATAAAAATTCTACATTGTTGGTATTGGCTTTCTATTCTTGTTTAAATATCTGGTTCTATGTTGAGGATACTAATATTCTGTGCTTATTTGAATGCTAGTTTTATATTGAGAATTTATGTATTGTAAACGGATCTACAAAGTGATCTGCAAAATCGATCTACAAA